TCTGCATAGGGTAAAGTTCTATTACCGTAATTACTGTTTTCGAGGGCACTTCTGCAATATAAATTGGACTGACATAGCTGATGATCTGCGAGGATAGTTTGGTAGTTCCAGTGCAAATACTACTGCGACAAGTTGAGATATAATTTGAATATAGATTGAGAATATAAGTTGAGATATAATTTGAACATATTTGATGTAATTCTGCAATATAATAGAAATATGTTTACGCCCTTGTTAGTACAGTAATTAAAATCTACAATTACGACTATGGATGTGTGAAATATGTCCTACACAACACACTGGTAAATAGTTTTGTAGATGCCTGACAGAAGGCAGCACAGATTAAAATATATTATTTTGAGGACACCATTCTCTTTAACGTCCTTCACACTATTCATCAAAAAATTTCATCAAAATCGATGAAGCATTTTTTTTTATAGTTGGAAAATATACCAGTAACTTCATGTAAAGTACCCCAAATAAAAATCAGTTCCAAATTCAAGAGTCCGCGACATCATTCAGATCGATTGGGAAATATCAATTTTGGAGAAAATCGGCTGAACGGTTTAGCCGCTAGCGTTGTTCACAGACGGACAAACAGATGTTTTGATTTTTCGGTGTCAAGGACCCACAAAACATGGATTCTGGCTACACCACGTGTTAGAGGATTATTTTATAAATTTGCAACTGGATTTATGCACTTTTTCGTTACTAGCGCCCTATAATAAGAGGGTTTTTTTTGCCGAAAATTCGCATTTTTTCTCGCATCATTACATAACTTTCCCTCTACTCTGTTGCGAGAAAGTAAAAACCAGAGTATATACGTTAAAACAAGTATTTTCCGCGCAATTTCTGCTTGAAATTAATGTAGATTATAAAAAGCTCGAAATTTTATCTTCAAATTTCTTCCGCGGACAGAAAAAGAAACGCCTAAAAGGCGTGATTTTCCTCCAACCCTGAATTTTCGAAAATGCAAATTAAAAATTAATAGAGAAAGTGCTTGCTGAGCACCACTAGTTTCGTAATTAGGTAACTGCATTTCGAGTTTTTGTTGTTGTTGAAAATATCCGTTTTCCGCTGCAGCATGACAATAGTTTCTCTGTACAACATTAGTATGCGATAGCAAAGAGTAATAAAGCACCCCCAACGACGTATTTAGCCTCTGCTGCAATTATCATCCACGCAAAAACACCTTCCCTTTCCTACCCTTTCCCATCCTCTTCAAACACTACTTCTCCGAAATCAATTCTTGCTGGAGTTCCTGAACGAGCTTGGCGTACAATCCATCATCCTCTTCAATTTATATATTTCAGGTTTTCCTTAACAAATGACACTTCAGGGGTATTATTTGCAGATGACTCTGTATCATACAGTACTGACAGTGATTTTGCAACTGAAATTTCTTTCCTTAAAATAATTTAAATTTGATAGACAAGTGGACTAAACTGTGGCATATAAAATTGAATGGGTAAAATGGAAAGAAAAAATGTTTCGTTACGTAGGTGGTACGAGTATAGTGATTCACCTTCTCTTACATACCAAAATGAATTAATAAAATGGCTTTCATCAGCCGAACCAATTAATTACTAGGGAGTTTAAATGAACATTTCGCACAGACTTTTCTTAGCAAACGATGGCAACAACGATTTCCTCAGGTTAAATAGCATTCCTCACTTTGTATTCTAACTAAATTACACATCTTCCGGCCAACAATTTCTTAAGCTTTAAGCCAATTTGGGGAACCACATAAAAAAAATTATAAACTTTTCACAATACCTGTTATTTCAGAATAACTATTATTGAAGCCCTTTGGATTATTTCAAATAAACAAATTGATTATGAATTAGGTATAGTTCAAATTCAAAGCGTTTTTTTGTAAATTCCATCAAAACTCTACCGCAAAGTCAATAATAATCCATCTGCAATTGATTTTCATTTAGGAAAACGTGTTCCACTTGAAAATACTAAAACGAAAATTATCTAAACTATTTCATCCTCCACAATATACCTTCATATAACTTAACAATAAACATTTTGTTCATCTTGTGCTGCCAAGGCCCTAACTGGCCGAAAGCATGTAATTATTCAGTAAAAAACCAACTTCCCCATCCTATCTGGCTCTTCCCGACCCCATTGAATGTGGAGGAACCGGAATGAAGCTATAAATAAATCCACCCCACCCCCGAAGGCACCCAAATTGACCCCGACCTGATAAGTGCTGTTACATAAGTCGCTTTAACAAACCAAATCACTAACGAATACCTTTTTATGTCTTTTTATCAAGATTCTAGTTGGTTTTATGCGTATGAAGCTTTCTTACGTTGGCTTGTCGAGCTGCAAAGCGGTAGTTCGGCCCGAATGACACAGGCAGGGGGTGGGGGGTACAGCGCTCGTAAGGCAAGGCAAAATACTCGATAACAAGGGTATTTTTGTATATTAGAGGCCAATACAATACGAACATTTTGAATTTTAGGCAAAGGGCCTCGAAATCCTATCTTTAAATGGTGGTCGTATTGCACGGTGTATTATTCATTTTGTTTCACGATTCAACACCTTCAGTATGCCCACGAAAGAGTAGATCTTTGGCAAGAAAACAAACAGCGTTAATAAAAAAACTGAAATATTTTTGTAAAACTTGTTCATTGTGTATTACTGCTTCAATCGACAGCAGGTGTTAACGTGGAAAATCAATTCTGATGCGAGAATCGATGAACTCTTGGAGCATAGAAGGAAGATACTCTTTCGTCTATGCTTACAATAAGATTGATGGATAGTTACTGGGAGACACAACTGCTATGATCATTAGTCTCGTAAATATATTTTTAACAATGATATTTAATATACTATATAGTTACCATTTGGACCTACAATTCTAAAAGACTAAATGTGCAAGTATTTTATCTCAGTTTCTGGGTCAATGGCCCAGCTCAATCTCATTTTTTCGTCGTTTCCGATACTTTGAACGAATGCTAGGACGGCCGTTTATGTTGCTTATGGATATAAATTATACTTCACTATATGCACACGTTTTCTAGAATTCAATGGAGAATATAGTTATTCAAATTGATGTTCTCTCAGTAGAAGTGGATTCCTTCAGAAAGAGTACGAAGGGAATGATAAAAGCAAACATCTGAGCTGATTTGCCTTTGCAAATACTAATACTTTCTCTCTAATAGGTAGGAAGCTAATACTTTCTTTTAGACTATAATAATTGTATTTTATCAGATGATGCAGCCACAATGAGCTCCGAAACGTAGAGAAGTAATGTAAATGTTAACAATAAAAAAATATTGTATCTAAAATTATCGGGGTGTATAAATGAAAATAAACTAATTGTCAGACTTACATAAAATAATTTGAAAAAAGCTAATATTCTTATAAATTCTTGCCAAAAACGCTCGTTTCCACCTGGTTTCATAATTGAACTTGTATACGGCTTACGGTGTAGGTCCTAGACCTTACGAAAACGTGATTTGAGTACACCTCATCCCATAGTACGCTACAGAGTTTTAACTGTTTTACGTGAAATAAATAGTGTGGTAAATGTTTTGTCACGGGAGGTGACGGTTGTCTTCAGATGGTTGGTGAAATCCGGCGCGGCTTGAGGGATTTCCCCTATTCAGGTATTTCTCATACACCAATTCAATCTCCTCGTATGTGTGGTGGTGTAGTGCATGAAAGTAAAGGGTGAGGATACGAGGAAGGGGAAGGAAAGATCGCGCGCAGCCCATTTGTTAGGGTATTGCTCCGTCATTCACATTATACTTGTATTGATCGGAGGAACAACTGAAAAATACCGGTCAGAGCAGAGCAGCCGGCCGCTAAATTCTCGTTGGGACTCGAACCTTAAGGCAACCCGTTTAGAGACATAGTAGTGACATCAATTGAGTAGAAAACCACGTAATATGGACTTTTTCTTTAATTTTTTCCATTTGGTACTGGCCTTACACAAATAGTTTTGACTATAGAAGTCATCCGTAGAACAAGCAGTTCTCTTTGTTCTAAAGAAAGAGGAAAGGAGAGGGAAGAAAAAAGGAAAAGCAACACCCACCGACTCGCCTAATACTTGACGGAGCTGCGGGTTGCTTCTGTGCAAGGGCACTTGACCCATTACAAACACACAAATCAACGCCCCCACATGTCCAATGTAATACAACCCACTATTTAAACACTGCCAAAATTAATACGAAGAATGTGTAAAAAAAATCGGCGAATTCGGTCGAGTAGTTTTTGAGTATGTGCCACAGACAAAAACACATTCCCATTTATTTACAATCTTCCCCCCAAATTACGTTATTCTTTGTTCATTAACACAATCACATTCCACGATGGCGTAAATTTTCTACATCTTTTGTAAAGTTAAAATATCAAAAGTTGACAATATTACTGTCAATCACAATATTAGACTCTGTTAGGGCTACATCAAGCGTGTCATCACGGCCGAAGGTTGACCCAGACGCCGTATTTCCCGCATGGAGACGACAGTGCCAGCGCCATCGTCCATGAGACCTCTCCCCCAACCCAAATGCTACTATGTCGCTTGGGGAAGCTTTGCCAGCTAGAAATGACGATGTATGAGTGGCCACGTGGCTCCACAGTCAGCATTCGCCGAGCAGCGAGCTACTGCTCGCCCAATCCCAAACAGCTGTGTTCGGCGAATGTTCGCACCCTTTGATATGCCCTAAACACCGACCCGCGGTGGGTAGGGCGAATGCCGAATGTCCACACTACTCGGTATTCACCACTATTTCTCCCCATAATGTTCCCAGATTTTGTCATAAATCAGCAAATCAATCCAAATGAATGTTTTCCTTGCGTATTATTTCTTGAACTTAAAACTGGCATGTGCAAGTAAGAATTATGGAAGACCCCATTAAAGTTTTGGACCTTAGTGTAGTTAATTTCCAATTTTTTTCAAATAGATGCAACAATGAAGATTAATACAATGGATGTTAAAGATGAATATTTTTAAGAATGAGGATCAGAAAATAAAATACCAATTCACCCAATACAAGGCTTTATTACTAACATTTCCTTGGATTTTCTTGTACAAAACTTAACTCTCAAGTCACATTCTCTGCACATAACAATAGGGGATTAAGAGTTTATTTGAATAATTAACAGACTTCGCCCAGCAGACAAGAGTGCCAACACTGTTTATGTCATTGTAGAGCAGATTATGAACATTAGGACAGGAACTAGCAATACCCTTGTAGTTATACTAAATAAATGGTATTTTAAAGAACTGGTCTCCAACAGAATCCACCTCCTTATCCAACTTATTTGGCTTTTCCATCACTTGTTTACAGATTTTTGACTTATTTAAACCTGAGTTGCACAAAAACACACGATTCCTGAAGAAGACAATCTCAATAGAGATATCTCACAGTTGTCCTTTAACTGATTCTTGCCCTAAGTTCATAAACCCCACATTGATAACATTAACAATGCACTAGTTTCAAAATATATTACTATTTATATATGTACATGATTTGTTTACTATGTAGATTTTGTTCTACCACATGTTACACTGGTACAGCCTTTCTTTAAAAAAGAAATGCTGAGGATTCACTCTCACACCATCCCAGACTTCAGAAGAAGTCCTGGGTTAAGTCCAGATTATGCCTCATATGTTGGAAGGAAGACAATGGAGCTTGTTGTTGTACATAACATGTTCTTCACAGTTAAAAGTGCTGTGTTTAAAAATAGTCAAAAAAACCATAAATGTGTTGGTAAGGCTATGAGAACTGCTTGATGCTAGACTACTTCCAACAGCAATCTTTGCTATATTCCAGCCCAGAAGCTAATGAGAAACAGCCTTTCATCAAACAGATCAATAGGCAATACACAAGGATGGGTGTAAATAATGGTTAGGCATGTGAAGACAACAGAAATGAGATGTTACTGTCTGTATCTACACAGTTAGTGTTGTCCCCATAATTTAATAATGGATAAAGGAAACTATGTTAGTCACTGGCACGGTAACGCATTTATGGTGGAAAGAAAATACATTTTTTGTTAGCACAGAAATGGCAAGTAAGCAATGAAATGTAGTATCTCAATATGGTTAGATGTGATGAATTTCCAGTTGAGATTTTGCTTTAGTTTTGCACTTGTGCGCTTATCATCATTGCCATTGATTAGTAGAAGCGCTTTCCTCATAAGCTTTTTGTTTTGCTGTTGAATGAGCTGCAAATACTTTACCACTTGTCAACAACAGCCTCACCAACTAGAACAAAATACATATTATAGTTAATATTTAGCTCTAATTGTAATTCCTGTGACTTTGCCAAGCTATTAATGCCATATTAATAAAGCTTCAACTAACAAAAAATGAAGTACACAACTACATGATGCTGATGCTGCAAATGAATAATGTGAACTGTTATGCCAATGGTCCCCAGTCGCCAAAAGACACTTATATAATCTTTGGAATGAATTCCAACACAACATGATTGCAATGCAGTATGTCTAGCTGTTTTTTTAATATGCAAAAGCATATGTACACTTTAATGTATCTTTTAGTTCAGAGAACCACTGAAAGCAAGAGAAATTTATCATGCACTGTTAAGCAGAGGCTTTACGAACATGCTACTGCAGCTTGCCATTCCCTACCAGAATTGCTGAAAAGCAAAATTAATATACATCTACTGCGAAATTATCTTGTATTAACAGAAACTCTACAGCAAGGAAGGTGGAACTAAAAGAAATGAATACTAATAGAAGAGAAAAAGGTAGTGGCATCTATAAATGGGAACAACATTTGGAATCAACAATGCCAGTTTTTTTTTGGGATGTGAAGTACGCAGTTTTGACTGTAACTCTTCATATTTCTTGTTATCTCCATGGCACTGTTCACAACAAATCCCTCACCACTTGCTAGTAGTCACTTCTGGTGCCACTGTGGAAAAGAAGATTGCACATGTCATTATTTATTCAAACTTGCAGCACAGGGCTTTCTGAAATGAAGCAGCAAATATATACAAGTTAGCACTGCAAAGCAGTCTATACTAACATTTAATAAAGTTAAGCATGACTGGAATGGACTTTAGTTTGGAATGCAAACATTTTTGTCTTTCCAACAGACTTAAAAATTTTAGTACACTCTGGACTATGAAAAGGAAAGGATAAGTTAAAACAAATTAATCAACAACATGCGAGTCAATTTATTCAAGGTGTATGTGAAATATCTCAACAATTATATTGAATCATCCAGCAGAAGTGTCTGAAAGTTTGACTCTCTAGAAAGCAGTATTTCTCCTTGAAATATCATACTAATAGCAGCCATTTTGAACACAAAAATTGCTTTGCATTTTGAAGAGAATATATAAGTATTGTATAAAGGCAAAGGCGTCAACTACTTTAATAATCATGTATAAATATACAAATTTGTTAATTTTTTTTCTATTTTATTTAGCTATTTTTGCGTAGCATACTCATACATTTAGAAATCTTGCAGTAAAATGTAAAGGAACATTCAGTTCCACTACTATGAACTCACTGCATGGAGGGTGGAAATACTCACACAGCATTCCAGGTAGACACTGGGTGATGAAGGGAGAAGGGACACTCCAATAGTTAACCAATCACTGAATAGTGTGAAAAAATAAGTATATATTAGTGGAGATGTTCTTCTCTATGTGCAGGGAAAATTTGTAGCCAAGTACAATTCCATTCCAGGGGCTTGAATTTGATAACTTCTTTTTGACATGTTAATAAATGGAAACTTAAAATGGGGCCATTCAAGGAAAATTTCAAAATGAAAAAAATGCAATGCTAATTTACTACTATGTCATATGGTGGGGGATTGGGGGGCACTTGAAAACAACTGAACTACAAAATACATCTAGGGTGATTATAAATACAATTAACAAGTGTACATTTCAAAATAAATACCTCCTCTGCACCTGAAAATGAAAAAATGCTACAAATAAGTCATTTTAAAATTGAAATATCAGTGTAATTTTAAAAGAAATTAAAATCACTTACACATGGAAGACCATCTGGAAGATGATTCTCTTTACCACATCTTCAAGTTTGTTTCACAACGGCAATACAAACTCACTCACTATGTTCTATGGAAACATGCTGGGGTTTCAAAAGCTACTAAGCCAGATTGTTACTTTCAAATTTCTTGAGTAATTAAACTTTATGCAATTTCTGCTTCTATTATATTGAAAGATCACAAATTGATGGGCCTGGCAAATATTTTCCCTCCTCAAAAAAAAAAAAAAAAAACCTACTTACCTTAGCTGGAGAGGTCATCTTTCTAGGGTATGTAATAACTTCAATAAAAAGCTCAAGGAGAGAAAGCTGTGAATGGTGCAGAATAATGCATTCTAGAAAATGGAAGATCATGTAAACAAAGCAAGCTTCAAAATAACACTCGGAGAAACCACATGCATGGTAAAGTATTCAGTAATTATCTATCAATTATTTACTTTTGGAGACATGACATTTTTCTTTTAGAAGTCCACAAAGTTTGTAAAATAAAAAGGCATCAGTTTTGTGAATGAAAAGTATGAAATTGTTGCACAGAGAGAACAAAGTTCACGCCTCTGATATGTGGTCTAGCAGTAGTTCTGAGCTTCAAAACAGCCAAATTTACAAAAATATAAAATTTTGTATGCTTTGAACACCTACAACCTGAGCAATATGAGAAATGTGTGATGAAATAATGGTGAAAAGTAGATAATCTACATTTTCACTTCTCATAGATTCATATTTATCTTTATAACCCTATAATCAATTCCTCAAGAATTTTCTTTGAACTTTTAATCTCTTCCACCATTATTTCTTAGGTAGTTCTTACAAAGTGATTACAACAGAGTTCATTGATTAACTTGTCATTTACTAAATCATAATACATTAAATCATCAGAAAAATCAGGTAAATTGTTTATTTAATGTGATATTTCTGGTTGCAATCTGGTGTGAATGAGCTTCATGATTTACAACATTGTCTTGTGTACCTGTTGTAAATCACACATGCATATAACATACACAACGGTATACACCACTCAGAGACATCTCATTTAGGTGCAGTTGTAGAAACACCCATATATAATATTCAAACTTCATTACAAAAGCAAACAAACTGTAATACTTAGGCTTAACACAAATGAAAGAAAAATTCATTCAGTAAAGTTATGAATACTTGAAAGTAAATATAAAAGAATAATGTTAATTACAATGAGTCCAGCTCATTTTCTTTCAAATGTGTTAGGTAAAATAATGACTTTTTCCTTTTTCTTCTTCTTTCAGTTCTCAACAATTTGGTTAAGGATTCAAAAGATTTACACATGCAAAGTATGCAAAGGGAAAACAAAATAACATGATGCAAAAATTTAATGTTGCTAAACACATCACTGGTATTCAAATGTTAAGACTTATTTTCCAGAAATCTTGTTTTTATACATAGGTTTGTTCTGTAATCACATCTACAGGTATCTAAATTAAAACATTAAGATGTTTTATTGGTTTCATGTTCTTTTGTAACAATTTCCACATTTACATAACTATGTACATTGTAATTGAGGTTTTAAAGATCACTAGTTTTCCATGAAAATGAAGCTGTTTTTCCAGAATTGTAAGACATTTATAATTTAAATAAAATCAAAAGAAATAAACACTAGCAGTGAAATGCGTGGAAAAGAGGTGAGTTTTGCAAATCAATATAGTTTTTTAACGAATAAAGAAATAATTTTGAACACTTCGTTTCATTAAAATTCCTCTATTGGGGATACCTGAACAAAATCACATTATAATACTCTTTGTATTTGTTAAACTGATAAGTGCCTTTAAAAAGGACTCGTGTCTGTAAAATACACACACATACAAACGCACACACAAATTCACACAAAACAAGTACTTACAAGCATTTTTCACATACTCACAGGTTACCACCCACTGCCTTATTTAACTGTAAATCACATTAACAACTCTAACTGCACTTCTTTAATTAATTTTCCTATACTGCACAGCAGTTGTGGAAGTACAGAACTTGTCCAGACACTCAAATCGTAAGAGCCTCCTCTATCAACTGAATTCCAGAACTTTATACAAACCCTGCCCATATAATATATTAACATAAATTAGCAGCCATATGCAGCAGGTATCCAATATTTTACAAAATGACATTGTTGCGTTTCAATAAACACACCATGCATATATATATATATAACTTATGAAATTTAGGATTTAAAATTCACATCACTCATAGTTCAATACATAATTAAATTATGGAAAGGACTGAACATTAGCAATGGTGGATAGTTATCATGCATAAGGTGCAGGTGAAAGTTTGGGATTTAAAAAGGCCAGGCTTCAAGCAGGAGAGTAGCACAAATAAACTGACTCCTAAATATCCCTTAAAAAGTTGATGTAACATAAAAGTCTAGGTTGACTTGTGTATGAAGACTAATGAAGTAAATATAAATAAAAATTAAAAGACTTCCTTTCCCAGAATGGAAGAATGCCAGATGTTATTAGCCTTCCCGCACTGATTTCTTGTCATGCACAGATTTTTTCTGTTCTTTCCGGCCCTTGTGAGATGATGCCTTTCTCGATTCACCTGTGTTGTGAATTAAAGTGACCTCAAAAGAGTGTTACAACATGCAAACATTAAGAAAAACCATCACTGTAAGAAAATACTTAAACTAAATGAATTTGGAAACTACCTACAAAAAAATATTATACATTTATGATAAACCCAAACTAATACTAATATTGTTATCAATTATTATGTAAGCATAGAGTAAAACAAATTCATTACTGGAGAAAAATGAGAATCATTTGTTATTGCATTTGGCACATGCCTTCACTGACACTAAGCGGAAGTCATTAAATGCATCAGAAATGCCTGAAGTCATAATAAATTATCCAATTCCATTGTATTATATACTCTTCTATTCTAACAACTGCACTGGCTGCCAGTTCAATGCTTACTTATTTTCAGATCTTGTTTTAAAAAATATTACACCTTTGCCCAAGTAACAACAAAAAATTTTTTTTTTAAATCTGGCAGCAAATGTAATTGAATTATCTTCACAGTTTATCCACCCATCGGAAAAGTCATTCCCCATCCCTTCTACCCACTCCCTGCTCCCCCCTTCCTTCATTACAAAATTATTGTCAGGATGTGAAATGGAAAGACCTAGCCAATGTTAGATATGTACACGACTCACAAAAAGAAAAATGAAGGGAAAGAAAATAAAAATAAAAATAAAATAAACAAATGTGAATCCAAAACAAAACAAATGAAAACACAAAAAGACAAACAGAACAAAAATTTAAGACAAAAGAAAAAAAAATGAGGTGTTCTGGAGGCTTAAAAAAGGCACTTTTCTACAAATTACAAAACCAATTCTTTACACTTGGATTCATGTAAAGAGGTTAAATGTATCAAAATGTGCCCAATGGCATTAACTCTGTAGTACAAAATATCCACAAAAAACATTGGGATTTTGTACTTTTCAGTCGCATAGGGGGCAAAAAACAAACTCATCTTGCAATCAGTTGATCAGTAACTTTTTGTAGCTGAGCTTTCACACTCAGAAACAATTTACCACTCCATACCCAATGTCTTTCCACAGTTTTCTTTGCCCCAACCAGTCACAATCACTTAGCTGAATCTATCACTATGCAGCAGGGTGTGTTCCAAAAAATCCACACAAGAAAAAAACATGTGGGTCAACACTCGACTTACATTTCCTCGGCCTGTTCAAGGGTAAATCGTTCAAGCACATCCAGGGGCAAAGTAGTTACGTAGTTGTGGATTTGGGGAAATAAAAACACAATTCACTATTTTGACCTTTAAATGGGGGATATAAGTATCAAGCCAAAAAACACCCCCCACATCAGGACAATCCAGTGCACTGTTAAAAGTGGGCTCTCACCATCAGCAAACTTTCTGGCGACAAACTTGAGTGTTTCATCAAGAAGGACAACAGGGATGGAGAATTTCATTACAGTTATCCATTCCTCGGCGTTCAACGGTGTGACCTGGAAAACAGTCTGGAAGCAAATATAAAATTTATGTAATTAATTCCAAATAACCAAGAATAAGCATAAATAATGAGGATTAAAATTGAAGTTGTTATTTACAGTGGTACTTTTTATATTACATCCTTGAAGTTATGTATTCTGGTATTTAGTAAGAGATTATACATGTATGATATGTGCAAATGCTACCAATTCATAATTCTTAGCATGCTGGCACTACTTTGGAATCTATAATAATTATCTTTTAGATATGCACACAATACAACTCAATGTAGTCATGTCACTGCACTCTATTCAATGCTATCATATAAATACAGTAAAACTTCACTTATACATTTTTCAGGGGACTGAGGGGAAAAAAATGTTTAAGTTAAAATGCTTAACCGAAATTGAAAATTATGAGCAAAATAAAAACTTAATATTTTTAAATTGGCTCACTCCACTCATGGACCAATGTTAGTTTTGATTTATTTAGTCAAGGAACAATAAAAACTGTATGTGACATGGGGGAGATATACCATCTTTGCACATTTCCTTGAGCTCCAGAATCTCTCCAAAATTTTAACTATAAATAGTTAAATGACTAAGAAACGTTTCCAAAGAAGCAAAGTTAGAAACTTTTGGAAACTAGTAATTTTTACTCCCAATTTGTAGAAAACTTATTTGCACCAGTAAACAAACTGCAGTTGTTTTTTTGTAGAATAGTTCCCCCCCCCCCGGCTCTACTCCTACCAATACAAACAAAACTTGAAGCTATATTTATATCCAGAAGCAAAAAAAGGGGTCATCTCAGTATTTTCTCAGTGGATCACGATAACTGGACAAAAACCTGATGGACATCAGAAGCTGAAGTATCAGTCAATGATCCGAAAGCTGAAGAACATTACTTGTTTCTTAGAAGAAACGGGGAACAGGCATAGGCACTTCAATGTATGCAGTCAGACCTTTACTCATGTGTGTCACGTAATGTTGATGGCATCCGCTGTGTCGACGCACATTGATGCCCATACATACGAGTTGCATAATGAGTGTTGTAGATTAACACTTATTTTATGTGAAACCTCACACTAGTGGTCTTGGCGACATGTGATGTGTCCACAGCCTAAGATAGAAGATAAGTTGTAATAATGCATGTTTTCTAGCTTTCAACATACGACGAGTGCTCGGCAACGCATGTTGGCAAGAGCGCTCGTGTGCTGTTTTGCACAAGATACAATGTTCAACTATGACGCATGTTATGTAACTCGTGTGCACAAACGTGAACACAGCTGATGTTATCAACTTTATGAGATGTGCATCAATGCAATGCTCAAGTGACATAAGCCAATTTGTCATTATAAGCAGTTGATTCCCTCAAGTTTCAGTAGTTCCTTTAAATACACTGAATTTTTATCATTCAATATTGGCGAACACCACATCAGCACATCATTGGCAACACCACACTAGCCGACATACATTAGCGCCCCTATTTGTTCGTCCTGTAGCTTTGTTCAAAATACAGAATGGAGAGTTAAAACGCTCCGCATAGCAATGAAATTAAACAACAAATTCTGAATTCAACACAAAAATTCCGTGGTTTCTTTTATGATAATGTAAAGGTTTTCACTTCTCAGTCACCTATGGCGTTCCTGGACATTACAGTCTTAAAAGGACTTTCATTGTATAAACGTTAAAAACACATATTTGAAATAATTTAGCATGGAAAGTATAGGTATTTGTCCAGGACTAACAGAAAAAAATGTATAAATGTGAAAAATATATAAGTGGAAAATGTGTAAATGGAGTTTCACTGTATACGCACTGCCAACTAGCTTCTTAATGTTATCTGATCTCTCCCACAAAAATCTGTAGGATAATCTCCAATCATGAAATATTATCCCACAATTTTCACACTTTTTTGTAATTTATTTTCTATATTAGTTTACTCACAGACAAAATTTCAACATAGAGGATGACGAAGTGAAGAGTGAAAGACAGTGCCATGGCAGACAACAGCCAAATGTTTGACCATGGAGGCATGGAGATCAAGGACTGGTTCTCAGACAAGCTGAAATAGGAAAGTCAATCAGTATCATGAAATCTGTCTAAACTCGAGAGCATCTCCAATTATCTGGATTTTATGTTGAATCAAATTATCATTTCATATCTAAGGTTATGCCAAATGTCATGTTATGAATAATGAATGCAAGTTTCATAATCACTGTTATTAATTTTTTTAAATTTAACAAACCTGTTCATGGCGTTAAGCATTTCAATTGTAACCAGCACAGACAAAGCCATTGTCATTGGGTGAGGATCATTGAAGATCTTGCAGTCAACACCCTTGAAGTCATCACCACCACCCAGGCAAGCCAAATGATGAGTCTGTGAGGTTAAAGACAGACCTTCTATAATACAATACTTTTTCCATGAAAACCTTAAGAGCTTACTTTAACACTCAGTAACAAACAGTAAATTAACAATAATTTTCATAGAACATTTGAGACAATAATTGCAGTTAACATATTTCAGTACGTTAGGCAGAAAAAACATCATGTTTTGATTTTAACAATTTTCCCTGTACAACTACATAGATAATGATAAACAGAAACAAAACATTCATTCACCAATAAAATCTTACCAGATGGTAATAAGAAAGAGATGGGCCATTAGGACCATACATGAACCACCAAGAAGCAGCACCTACAGTAGCAGCACCCACATATCCACCAACTGCCAGGTAACGGAAGAACAACCATCCAGAAATCAGAGACTCGTCACTCTTGCGAGGTGGCTGAAAATATGAACATACAATTTAGGCAACACTTCACATAAACTTCTCATAACCAAGAATTTTTATGATCCAAATAAAAAAAAACCTTGTCCATGATGTCCAAATCAGGTGGATTGAAGCCCAGGGCAGTAGCTGGAAGACCATCAGTGACAAGGTTCACCCACAGAAGTTGCACAGGGATCAAAGCCTCAGGAAGACCCAGAGCGGCAGTCAGGAAGATACTACACATTTAATTCAATAGAAGTAACAAATTAGTTATACTCTCTGATGGGTTTTAGAGATTTACAACATTTTCTGTAATTTAATTAATAACATAATTATTTAATTCATTATTACTCCTAATACTTATTTATCCTTTATAATTACCTTTATGCATGTAACCAGCAACTTGCAAAGTATCAAAGTATAATCCTCAAAATCAACAAAAACTGAGCACTTTACCTTACGACTTCACCAATGTTGGAAGAAATCAAGTAACGGATAAATTGTTTCATGTTGTTGTAAATAGCACGGCCTTCCTCAACAGCAGCAACAATGGAAGAGAAGTTGTCATCAGCCAACACCATCTCAGATGCAGACTTTGCCACAGCAGTACCAGATCCCATAGCAATACCAATCTCAGCCTTCTTCAGAGCAGGAGCATCATTGACACCATCACCAGTCTGAAAGTAAATGAAGCTACGTCATTAAGGTACAGCAAGTAGAACGCATTAAAAAGTGCCTTCAAAGACAATGAATTACTAAAACACATTAATTCTAAATCATTTTCAAAAAAAGGTTTGTTTGTTACAAATCATTTACCATGGCTGAGATTTCATTCATGCTCTGCAAGAATTCAACAATCTTGGACTTGTGAGCGGGCTCCACACGGGAGAACAGCCTTGCCCTAGCAACAGCTGCTTTTTGTTCACCAGCTGGGAGATCATCAAATTCACGGCCTGAGTAAGACTTGCCAGTGGTATCCTCATCTTCACCAAAGACACCAATACGTCTGCAGATAGCCTCAGCAGTGGACTACACAAGAACACTTAATTACTGTAAATCCAAACTATTTCCCGTGAAAATTTCAAACAATAAGGTAATAATAATATACTTTTCTTCATTGTAATGATAAAGTAATTATTGGCTGCAAGATATTTGAGATTTCTAATTGAATTAATTATTGTCACTCACCTTGTTATCACCAGTGATGACAATGACACGAATTCCAGCAGCACGGCACCTCTGAATGGAGTCAAAGACTTCTTTGCGAGGGGGGTCCAACATGCCAACAACACCAACAAAGGTAAGATTGACTTCATAGGTGTAGAACTTGGTAGAGTCACCCAGATCCATTTCCTCAGGCTTCAGAGGGTTGTCAGAAGTAGCAAGAGCCAAGCAGCGCAGAGTGTCACGGCCAGTACCATATTGTCTGGTCAAGTCCAGGATGCGATTCTTCAGAGTAGCAGTAAGAGGAACCTGTAAAAGAACCATATTATTAATGCCAATCATAATATAGGTAGTGAATTTTCAATAGAAAAGAAAGAAAAGGGAGAAGAAAAAAGTATACTACAAAATAGAGAAATTAATTTCTTTAAGAAATATCTTTTAAGTATCTTTTTTTCCCTCTTCAAACAAACAATTTTTCAACATTTTAGATTATAAATTCAAATTATTTTTGGACAGAGAAATTCAATTTTTAAAATTTGTTGACACTAAAAAAAAATTCTCTGCACATGTGACAATTATTTATACTTTGTTGAGAATAAGAGCAATTAAAACAGTTGAATGATTGAATGAATGGACAACAAATATAGAAAACTTGTCTATTTATATCCTTGGCATACATTTTATGTGAAGTAATTAATTTTAAAACATCTCTTATACCAAATTAGAGGGCCATTTTAGATTATCAAACTTTACCTTCTGGCTTCCCAGGCGAGCATGAGTGCAACGTTCCAGGACACCCTCAGGAGCACCCTTGACAAAGAGCTTGGGTCCATTACCAAGACGGCTGGGCTTCAGAGGCACACAGTAAGAGGACATGGACTTGCGGTCACGGGAGAATTCCAGAGTGAATTCCTTCTTCCACTTGGTCTCAATGTCTTGCCTTACAACAATGGCAGCAGTGCGGCGATCCAATCCAGTCTTGCTAACACCGAAAGGATTCATTTTCTCAGCCAAGACAATCAAGGCAGTCTCAGTAGCCTCACCAACCTTCTCAAAAGCCTGCTTGAATTCATTGAAGTCAATAGCAGAGTCATTGCACATGATACAAATGGTGCCCAGCTCATGAAGAGTTTCATAGTCGGAGCTCTTAACCTTCTGGCCACGAGTGAAGATTTCACCAATGGGTTCATAGGTGGAACCAGTGATTTCAAACTCAATGAAAGAGCTGTCGTTTCCTTCAATCTTGTCAAAAATGAACATGCTGCAACAAATGAAATTCAGAACAATAATGTACTTGATAATTTATACTATTACTTTCCCACTGTAGAGAAACTTTTTATAAAATCCTAGTTTAAGGTAATTTTTAGAAGAAATGATAAATATGGTTTCTTGAAAGAAAAATATTTTCAATTAAATCTTAATGGTAAGCACACAAATGACTAATATCTTTACAAATCGTAGTTTCAGACTTATGTCAAACAATTTTGCATTTACATACCGGCTAACAGACATCTGGTTGGTGGTGAGTGTACCAGTCTTATCAGAGCAGATAACAGATGTGCAACCCAGGGTCTCTACAGATGGCAGGGAACGCACAATAGCATTCTTCTTGGCCATACGCCTGGTGCCAAGAGCCAGACAGGTGGTGATGACAGCAGGGAGACCTTCAGGAATAGCAGCCACAGCCAGAGCCACAGCAATCTTGAAGTAGTACACAGCACCCTGGGAGGAAAAAAAAGAATTGTTTTTCAACTTATTACTTTTTAGGTACATAATATCAAATAATTGAAGAAAAACCACAACCAACAACAAAAAACATTACAATTGAAAACTGATAATTGCATGCTGTGCACCTTACCTTAATCCAGGAGCCACCATGAGCAGGGTCATTGAAGTGACCAATGTTAATAGCCCAGACAGCCACACAGATAACGGAGATCACCTTGGACAGTTGCTCACCAAACTGATCAAGTTTCTGCTGCAGGGGAGTCTTGATTTCCTCAGTCTCAGACATCTCAGTACGGATCTTACCTATAATGATACAAGATTAAGATACTGCCAAGAACATCTGCTTATCTGAATGTATTACAAAAGAAACTTACCAATAGCAGTGGCCAAGCCAGTGCCAATGACAATGCCACGAGCCTTGCCAGCAGCAACATTGGTACCAGAGAACAGGATGTTCTTCTTATCCTAAAAGGAAGATATGTATATTAGATCAATTACAATAAAGAGAAACAATAATTGTTTTTAAACAAATTACACAGTAAAATGTCAAACCTGGTTGACAGCCCTGGGGTCAGGCACAGGGTCGGTGTGCTTGATGACAGAAACAGATTCACCAGTCAGAATAGACTGATCAATTCTCAGAGTGGTGGAGAAGATCTTAACAAGACGGATGTCAGCGGGGATCTTGTCACCAACTACAAAAATGATTCAAATAGGAGCAATAATAATTGAAAATTTGCAATCCACACAGAAACCACTTTCTTAATTAACCTAACATATTATTATATAAAAGATTCGTGCCTTTTCCCCTCAGTAGAATCCCTTTAAATAGTACAATGATCACATATCAACAAGCTCACTGCACAGCAAACACATACCTGACACTTCAACAATGTCACCAGGGACAATCTCCTTGGCACGGAGTTTCTGCACACCAGCTTTATCTCCTCTGACAACTTTGCCCATTTCAGGTTCATATTCTTTTAGAGCTTCAATGGCAGATTCTGCATTTCTCTCCTGTAGTCAAAAATTAATTTTTCAAGTAACTGATGAGATTATACTCTTGAAACAACAAACTATAATCTACTGAAAATTTTTGTAGAATAGAAAACATTCATTACATGCTAATCACAGACTTTTTATTTTACATATAACACACAATATTCTTCAAATTTGATAAGAATTTTTAATTTCTATGGAGCAATATTTTGAATTTAAAGTTGAAATTTTAACTCTTTCCAAAAGCAAATAAGTCACATACCTGCCATACACCAACAATGGCATTGGCAATAAGAATAAGCAGAATGACGAATGGCTCAACGAAGGCAGTGAGTGCATCATCCTCCTCAAACATGGCAAGAACCTAGAAATAATGTCATTAGTGGTAAGACATTACTTTTCAGGATATATCAGAGATAAGTGAAGAAGTGCAAGGAACATCAACACATTTGAATTCAAAAGAAAAGCTTACAAAGGAAATGATAGCTGCTAACAACAAGATTTTCACCAACAGATCATCGAACTGTTCCAGAACCAACTGCCATATCGACTTGCCTGGAGAAAAAAGAAGCATTATTTATGCACAAATATCATAAGTAACAATTTAACATAAATGCAATTTGTTTTAACCACAGAAAATATGAGAATTTGTACTTACCCTCCTCAGCAGGCAGTTCTGTGGACAAAGAAACAGTCATTTAGAAAATGAGAAAATTTTAAAACAATTATTGTACAAAACTAAAATGTGATTCACTTAAATACTTTTCATTTACCTCACTCTCCTTTATCCTTTCAGGTATCAACAACTACTTTCAATAGTAGCTCAAAACAACTAATGCAACATACTAAACAGTTTGATTATCTAAATGTATAAATTAAAATTTGCACATTGTGATTGATATAGAAAAATAAGCAAAATTCTACTACAGCTATAAGTCTATTATGAATATCTGCATCACTAATGTTAGGGGTGCTAAAAGGTTGTAGAAAATCGACCATCATTCCTTTATTAAGGATAACTCTTTCCCATCGGCACAAACATAATGAGACGGAACATAATCAGATGTTTATGCCAACATTTGATAAAGCTAAAGACAGTAGTCGCTAAAACTTCATATGGGATTCTGAACCCCCTCCCTTCCCCCCTAAAACAAAAACAATCAGAATCCTATTCTCCGTCTCAGAAAGGTGAACGCGTAGGCCGTTGTGCTCGCGAAGAGACGCGCCTAGCCCCCCGCCGCTTCCGCTCCCTCCCATGCGCTCGCGGGCGATAATCCTTGGGGCACACAGCGACTTGAGCAAGCAGCAACACGCAAGAGGAGTCGGAACCTCCGGGAAAGCCGGAACCGCGTCAGCTGGGGAGAAGTAGCAAACACTGGGCGAAATCACTTAGCTTACGGACAAGAAATCTGTAAGGGTGAAGGCTACTACACGTACAATTATCGATTTCATAATACAGGAGAATTCAACGATACCGGCTTTCCGGTGCCTTCATTTAACGCCAATAGTTGCAAGCTTTAACGAATCAGAAAGTAATGTAAATTATCACTGCTAATGTTTTTTGTTCTATTTTCACACCATAGTGGGAAGCTCATGAAATTCTGCAGTGCATCACGCTTCGTGATTCACGACTTTCATAACAACTTGACAAAGCTCGCGTAAAAATGAACATTTTATGTTATATTGATGGTGAACGTTCTCTATTAGGGGACAGCAAACCTTTTTCTACTACCTCTGGAAAATGAGTTTCAGATTTGGTGAAGATTCCTCAATCGTTAAAGAATTGACCAGAAATTGACCTTGTGTATTTCATACAAGCAAGTAGTTTTACCTTTTCAGAGTATCTTTTTTTTTTTTTTTTAAATTTTTTACAAATTGACTATATGGAAAGCCAAATCCATACTCTAGTGCCGTGTTTTCATTACAGAACAAGTCCGCCTAAGGGAGCAAATTACGGCGGATTTGTGCTTTGCAGGATTAAAAATAATTTGTGCTCGTTGGAGCTACTTCCTCGAGCGCAACAGACTTCGCGAATGGCAAGCCAGCACGCGGCGCGGGCGGTCCAGCTGTGCTGGCGCGCTTGCTATGGCATCCACGGGAGTGACGAGTCGGCAGGCGAGAGAAAACATGAGAGTCTGGCGGGTAAACATAGAAACTGGACCACTGGCTGAGGAGCGCTTGCCTCAGTATGACGACACGGCTACGATACGTTCGCTAGGCACAATATACGAAGGCTAAGTGACCGACAAGCGAGAGTTGGGGCAATATTGCTATCATAGGTTCCCAAACCATTAGAACGAACTTTTCGGGAAAATCTAGCTCTACATCCTTTTGGCCTTGCTAAGCTTACTTGAGTTGCAAATCACGCTCACACTATCTAATACTAATAATTCCAACATATCGTAAACACAATGAATTAAGATGTTAACTATCATCCCTACTGAAATTATTGTTTCTAATTACTACACAAACTTTTGTATAATTACTTTCAAATAAATTCTAAAAGCAACAGGTGAACATTCAAACGGAAAGCATTATATTTATTACGACGGAAATTTCTGATATATATTATTTTCATGAGCAACAGGTACTACTGAAGAAATACAACAGCAAATCAAGAAAAGTACTTGATCAATTTTTGCACTTGTAGAACTTACTAAGGTGTCTTTGTGCCAATCCTGAATTTAAGCAAGTGGAAAGGGCTTTAAGAGTTGCATAAGTTAAAAATTTAAGTCAGAAAATTTACATTTTAAGTAAGGGGTGGATTTTTTGATGCTCATCACCAAAGCAGGATATGTATTATGAAACAAACAATTACTTCAAGGATTATTAGCTTAGCACTTACATAAATCTAGTTAAGTGGATGACCTACTTTTTAAATGTTTTTAGGAGATTTGATGAAAGTAAATTTTACCTTTCTTTTTGAGTCACTAACACTTAACATCATCAGCCAAATATCTCAATTTCACACATGGCAAATGTCCACACACACAATAGTCATTGAATTGCATAAATAAATTAAAAACAAAATTTGAATATCAGATTCAATAATTAATTTTCAAAAATTGTAAGGCATATTACATAACTGTCACTGCAAATCATTTATACAAAAAATATACGCAACACATTTATGTTTTTTTAGTAATATGCCTAAAAATGTGAAACAAAAGCTTTCCCAATATTCTAGCAAATGTTTTCAAAAAGAGAAATGAAATGAAAAAAATGAAAATGATGATTTATTTTAAAAAAAAGTTGAATATGTATACAAAATTATTCTTCCTTGCAGGTACAACTACAAACTACTTGAAGTGCAATGCAGCTAACAATTTTCCAGACTTCAAAAGTTGTGTAATTCTCAACAAATTTAGTGTGATACATCACATTTAATGTTTCAAAAATATTTCATTAGTTTTATTCTACACCTAAACATACAAATTTAGTTTCGACTGAAACTCTTTGAATCTTTTACCAGTAATTTACATTTGCAATGATATAAATATCAAAAGACAAGATAAAATAACTCACCGTTAGGGCCATACTTCTCCTGATTTCTTTTCACCTGGTCAGGTGAAAGACCCTTGTCTAAGTCGACATTAAAATAATTTACAACTTCTTCTACAGTTTTTGAGTGGGCGTCCTCCATGGCGAGAACTCTATAGCACTACTTTTATTATGAGAGCCTCCTAGTGTTCATCAACAAACTCCCACCCCCTGATGATATACAAAATTCTGTGAACAAAAGAAATACATAAACATAAATTATTACATTATTATTAAGGAATGATATGAGACACAAAGATAAAGCATTAAAAATAATTCAAAGACCCACAAATGTACTTGAAAGCAAAATTCTTTGGTGAATGCAGTTCACTAGAATGTATGAAACTATTTTCCAATCTTACATGAACTAAATAAAATACATTAATAGAAAATGAAGTCAATACAGAGGAAATAAACTTCAAAATCGGAATTTCTTTGTGTGATTGAATTTTTTTCCTCTATATTTCTAGTCACCTTCAAATAATCCGTTGCACATCATTTTGTTCCATATGCTCTGTCTTATTTAATTTTCCACATAACCTCTCGTGAAACTTGCCCAATTTAAACGTTAAGAGTTACCATGCTCACAACCCATTCTTTTCACACAGCATGCCAACGTCGGCAAAGATCACAAATTCGCCAATAACATATCCTCAGGTCACATTAGCACAACAATGAGAAACTCGGAAGTAAGACGTTGATAGGAAAAAACGAATTGACATGGAAACGTCCGTAATCGTAACACTTTCAATAAAATTATTATCATTGTGAGAGCATGAGTAAGTAGAGTTCAACACCGGAAATGATTTGTGAAAACTTACCGTGCAAGCTTCTTGGCATGAGACACACCGCAAATAAGCGCTTTTTCAACTTAAAGTTGCGAACTCAATATTAACGTAACTAAACAAACTCCATACAAATCAACAACCAAAATATATCATAATGCCAAGAACTCAAAATTATTCGGTAACCTCCGTAAGATTTCACACATTTTCCTCACAGCAAACTACTCTTCGCTCTCTTGTGGCACCCTTCGCGTGAGCAAGATTCGTCTGCTTACTCCTTTACTGCTGTGCTGTGCATATAATACTACGCAAGCCATATACGTAACTTTCAAATCGTTAGTCCAATATTCACAGATTAAAGACTAGTTATAATTGATAAAATTATTTAAAATTTTGCTAATTATACTGTGTTTTAGAATATAAATATTGTTACAGCTGCTAACGGTTAAATAAAGTTGAATGAGATTCCCATCCACGAAGTATCATGTGTAGAGTCGCTATTGGTCAATCGAAGTCACGAATCACATTATTTTATTTTTGCGCGCGCGAAGAATAAATAGTCTTTTATACCAAATTTTTCCGTGGATATATTTTTTACGTCAATGTATATTTTATTATTATCATTGTAATGCATACTATGTAAGTTTTTAAAATTTTATTTGAAGAAATTACGTAATTGCTTAATACAAAATCATATTTCACAATGTAATTTAGTTAATGCTGGAATTCTAAACTTATTCACATCATTTTTCGACCCACCGTATTTAACAAATCGATCATAATAGTATTGTATGAAGCTTCTACTATATTCTTCGTATAGACCTTGATACATTATAAATGGAACTTTGAGCTATATAGGTTTTGGACGAACTCATCATTCCCCGGGCAACAGCTACGTTGCCAAACCCCGCACGGCTGTGGACTATTTTTGCACGTAGGGACGACTTTCTTAATTATTTTGGCAAGTCTTATGGCTAGAGGCAGCCTGTAGGCGAAATGTGGTGGGGGAGCCAACTCTCAAGTTAGGCATCTCGTATGTCGTATTTAGCTTTGTGTGGGTAATCAATTTGTGAAACCTCGTCAGTTGCTCTTGTGTGAATAAAATCATCTTTTTGGCATCTTCACCTCTGTTACACAACAGTTATCTAACGCGATCATATGCATTACAATTTTTTACAAGTCCAAGATAAATTTAATTAAGTACCTTCATTTTATAACGATAGTTTATCAGTTTAAACGATAATTTTAAAATTCCGGTTTGAAAATTTTAAGCTCTTCCAATGTTAAACGTTTAGTATAGATATCTTACTTTTAAAAACACGCTTTTGAAATTTTTGTTTTAGAAAATAAGAAAAAAGTGTAGGAAATGCCTCGTCTCACGCTATAGAATCTCAGTGATTTCTTCTTTGTTCATATTCCTCAATTTTTAAATTCGCAAAATGTCATTTAAAATCAAAATGTAGCTTAACTCTTGCTTTTATATAAGGCAAATATAATGCATAATGAAATGTTAGTATTCAGTGCACTTGCGTTGCAACTGCGTCGACTCAAAACCAAAAAGCCGTAAATACGTGATGTTCCTCGTTAAACCATTCAATTAAGAACTTTTCCCTTAAAAATGGAACTAATTATCGGCAGATTATAAGGGTTTAGGGAATCTGAAATTATTTGAATAAATGCCTAGTAATGAGTTGTTGTTATTTGCATTATCATCAAGAGTTCTTTTCTACTGTTCTTATCATTCAAGTGTGATGTGATGAATGGCTTATGTGGTTAACTAAGAAATTCCCGAAAGTTGAATGTCTTTACAAATTAATGCTCTCTCAAGTAATGTAATACAAAATGTAATACAAACTTAAATCCCCGGTTGTTCGTGTACCATGTTCTTTCCACTCGCATTTGTGTTCGAATATCCTGTTTCGTGTCGCAAACCAACACACACGCCAGTGTACCCCTCACACACATGCCACTGTCGTGTACGGTTGGAACACCGGTGGAAACGATCTAGTTGATCTAGTTTCGTGTGTAGATAACACGAATTTAAGTAATGTACTTCACAGCGTTGTTTTTCCTTCACATAAACCATCTCAAGCTTCATCGTTGCACTTGATTGGATCGAAGGCGTACGAAGAAAATCCAAGGTATTCTCCAGAAATTCGGCGCTCTAAAATTTCCTCCTAAGTTTCCTGTCGGCGATGCACAGCACACACGTTCTGAGGTAACACACACACAACTTCACAGCACTTGAAGTGAGAACTGAAAATCCAACTTACCACTTATTAACAATTCTTTGTGGTCCCAAGGTTCACAGATTTCGAATAAAATTTAAAATCACAACAAAAGAGGTCGATATAACAACTATATCACTTATAAGGCCCCTACCCTAAAAATTATACCCCTTTTATCATGATATAATATACGAATTGTCCGTCGAAAATTTGAAAATGGCAACGCCTGCGCTGCTGAGCGAACGGGGGCACCATAACCCGGGCGCGCTCGCTTAAATAAGCTCCGCACCGGCGCCACCTGGTGCTAAACGCGGGAAGCTGCGTCCAGATCGAGCCGAGCGGGGCCGTTGCCAAGAACCCCCTTCCCATGGGAGCGTCCAGGAGCGCCGCCGCTGCTTCATAGTAAAGTATTTTTGATTAGCTAACAAATCTTCCAACAGGCACTTCCATTATTCTACGCATAACGTTTCTTCGCGTAGCCGGTGACAGTTAAACGGAGTTATCGTTCAAGGTCGTCTAGATGTTCTGCTAAAAAGCGCTTCAATTTCTGAGGAAACATTGGACGAAATACATTTTTCTTTTGTTTTTGAACTATATTACTTTTGGCAGAAATGTAGCAGACAATGATGTAACTAGAACATTAAAACTGATTCAGATACAATGTATTAAAACATTTTTCTAGTTTCCTCTGCTGAGTAGAAACTGCAGAAACATCGGTATTGTCCAGATGTGACACGAAACTGAGGTGTCGGGACACATTTTCTCCTATTAAGTGTCTTCAAGAACGTCTACAGAGACAATGAGAAGATAAATTAATTTTAATTTTAATTGATCATGGTGAATTTTTCAAAGCTAATAAAAATAATCATAAGGCAAACAGATATTTAACGTGTGATAAAACGCGAAGTTCATAAGCATGGCGATGACGTGTAAGTAAACTCATTAGATATTACCGCTTTAATAAAATGGTTCGTTTTTATGCGAATGTACAATTAATGATTTTAAATAAAATTTACTATGCATTTTGCCGCCTGACGTTTTCAAGCATTTTAACTAGTTGAACAAGTAGAAAAAGAGTCTTTTGGTACCAGGTATTACCGAGACATGTGTTATCTTGAAAAGATAACGTAAATTAGCATCACCAAGGTCTTAAATCTGCCACATAATTTATAGTACCAGATTTTGTATAGTACCTTTTGCTTTAATAAACAAATTGAAGGTGCAAGAGGAAACAGAATATTTCTCCTGGTAAGGTGAGGACGTACGAGGCGTTCAGATTTTGCTGATACAGCCCGAAACACAGCCTCCTGATTCCCACTGGATCCTTGGATCATTACGATTTACGTCAACTGCTACTTCCACTGAATTTGGCCTTTTTTTAATCACGGACATATTTTATGAACTTTGAGTCATATTAAATGAACATTGAAAAAAAAGTTTAAAAATGTAAAAAGATGAATATTTTTGATTTCTCTCTCTCATTTCAAAAAGGAAATCAGAAAAAAGACAAATGAGGTTAAAAATCTAAATATTGCTTGTGCGATATTTTAATTTCTAGATGTGTTTTCCAAGAAAAATATTATATATATATCGAATATTTTGAAGTATTATTGGTACGCAAATTGAGAGGCACATGTGAAAAAAATATTTAATCTGATGTTGAAAGAACATAAAATTTTTAATCAAAATATCAATGTATTAGGCGATATTATACATGTTCTAACAATGGATCATGATGTATTATTAATAGAGTAATTTCGTTTATACAAAAGTTAATGATTCAATAGCGGATATAATGACAAAAGAAATATGATAATGTTGCATTGTTTATCGATACAAATGAATTGTAATATATTATTGACATAATATTCTATTGAACATGTATTATACATAGTTATCTTAAGCGATTAATTTCGTCGCTGTTATGTAGGCATAGTTGAGTAGCTCTCCAGTTTGTACTCTCTCCTCACTCGCATCTACAACTGACAACATATGTACTTAAATATGAATATTCTCGGGCAAAAATAATTTATCACACGTATTTACTAAATATTTATTTCTTGGTTTACACAGAACACATATGGTCAGTAATAAAAATGTATACAATGTCGAACCACATACTTTCACAGAGGTTCTTATGAATAAGAGAAAAAAAAACACAATAAATAAAATGCATAAACATCATAATTGATGCACCACCAAATGTATAAATAATATGCTTAATTCAATTCACTGCATTCGACTGTGCTGACAAAAAATCATTTCAATGTCCTTCATTGGATAAAAAATGGGATCCATTGACCTTTGTTAGAGGAATCCTTCCCTCAAAGCGAGAATTTTTTGAAGAAACAAAAAAAGTTGTGTTCATTATAGTTAGCCTGGCAACAAACGCCAACATCATCCAATTTGACTCGCTTTACTCGCTCACTTCCATGCCGACAGCGAGTTTGCGACCGCGACCTCCAATATTAGCTTCAAAATATTTTTGTGTTCTGCCCATGCCAAAATGTCCAACTCATTTTACGCCATAACTAGTGGCACTAAAACAGCACGTTCTTTCTCGTCCGTACTTTCATGCAAAATTACGCGAAAAGTACTAAAATTGTGAAAAATTTGTACGTGAACTTATTTCAAAATCTGTCTTTAAGGTACAGATTTCACTAAGGAAAATATTCTCTAACTTTATAATTGTAGTTGAAGGAAGACGCAGAAAATCTTTTGAACCTTTGCAATTTTCGAAAAACAATCAGTGTTTTCAACGAACATGAGACCTGCACTTTTCTCTCTAACTTCCTTCACACTATCAAATAAAAATTTAATAAAAAACGACTGAGCCATTTTTTAAAAAAAATTGGGAAATGTCGCAAGAGCTTCATCTAAATTACCTCCCAAAATTAAAATATCTGTTTCAAATTCAAAGGGCCGCGACATTAGCCACATTAATTGGAGAAAATCAATTTTGAAGAAAGTCGGCTAAACGGTTTAGCCGCTAGCGTTGTTCACAGACAAGTCGGACAGACATTTTGCCGTCAATCCAGTTTTCGGTGTCAGGGCCCCACAAAACATGGATCCTAGCTACACCAGTGTTAGTGGATTTCCCCCCTAACTTTAGCAACTGGATTTGTACACTTTTTCGTTACTAGGGGCCGGCAATAATAGTTTT